TTCAGATTTGGCTGTATGTGTCATATGTATGTGTAGAAGCCACCGAAGCACGACATCAATTTTTTGTATCAAAATAGTGTTTTCTTGGCAACCACTTGATTCAGGATCGCATATAAGAATTGATAAACAATTTATTCATATATTTCAGTCATTTAGTTCGCTGACTTTCAACACCGATCTCAATATCACGAAGAATTCTCAGCACAATCTCTTCTTTGTATGGAGGAGCAGCCACTTGCACGTTAACCGGAAAGCCAACACAGTTCTGAATACGGTTTCTTGAAACTATCAAATTTAGAGTAAAAAATACGGCATCCAGTATCCTTTTTTATAGTAAGAGGAAAACGAGCGTTTTAGCATTGCTCAAAATTCATCACCCTAAAATTCTCAAAAAGTGAAAATTTTCTATGGCATAGATCTTCCTCACACAGCAAGATTTTTGTCTCATTGTTGATAAAACTCTTATAACAACAATAAAATGCACCATTGTTGAAAAAAAAGCTTTTTTAAGAAGCTGAAAGGTTGAGTCGAATCAAGAAGAACTCTTTTAATTACTTGCATCTAGGTTGTAACTTATACTTCTATCTTTGAAAAAAAAACAGGTTCCCTGCTCAATCTTGAAACCTGCGTCATATTACATATTTATGCTACTGTTTTATTGAGTATGTGATAGGTCCTATGCAAAATGCAAAAAGGATTATGGAGGTACTTTTCTGTGAGGGGAAAACACACTTTCAAAATTGTTCCACAATGTTCCATGCTAAGACTAACAGTCAAATTCAAATTTCTCAGAGGGGACTCAATACCACACATGCGTACTCCAAATTCATCTTAATTACTTGCTTAACATACAGCACATATTTACACAAAACACATTTCACTTTTATTTCATTAGTACTTAAATTTAGGAGTAAGAACGTTGTCATCGTTCAACCTCAGTAACTATATTTAAAGTACCAAATGGATTACCTTGCATGTATCTTTGGCCAATCTATACCATGGATCAGTTTCCGGATACTCTTCTAAGAGCTTTCGATTGTCCTCGGCTGTCACTTTTGTTACGTTCACCACACCTAAATGGAAGCAAACTCATTATTCTTCTTGTAAAGTTTTGTTCTTCAGAAGCTATATTTTCTACCTGCGCCAAAATCAAGCAGATTGAATATAGCGGTATAAGAGCAAGCGGCGAATAACTTGGCCGGAATAGAGTGTTTTGGAGCCGTTAGTACCTAAAATCTACATTGTGGATCGAAACTGTTATACTAACAGCTTGTAACCTTTAAATATATCAACCTGAGCACCTGAGGAGGACAAAGAAGGGCATCCAGCTTTTCCTTTTGCATTAGCACCACGAAATTTGCGCGATACTCCTCAATCTCCGCATATGTTTCGCGCAATTCTGTAGCTTTTCAAGATGTCTCAAAAGTTCCATTGCATTATTTCATAGTTTGTTTCTGCACCTACCACTAGTGTTGAGGGCCAACGAATGCATCATGTTGGCAAATCGGGGGAAAAAGTATTCTGAAGGGTAGGCAAGCAGTCGTTGTATCCATATGGGAATCATTAGAAGCACGACTTGTCCATAAAGTAAAGGATCAACGATATCCTAAAACATATATATCCATACAAAATTTTGAAAATATAGCATAAATCATCTCAGAATTGCATGCAATTATTTTCCCAAAAAAATGTTTTTGAGCATTTCGATTTGCGGCTTTGCTTTTACCGTGATGTTCATTCAATTAACATCGTAACAAAATGCATGTATGAATTGGTTTTAGAGTGGTTTCTTCATATTAAGGTCTTCTTTCAGCTAAATGACTTATAACTTCTCTGCGAGAGAAATCATCTTCAAGCATATATTTGAGATAAGAGTTGTGTAACAAGAACAAACTGAGTGCTCCTATAAACACTGGTCTCAGTTGCTGAGGTACGACAAACGTCTATGAGCAGTTGTTATTGTGGTCAAGACATTATTAATCTTTCATATTTAAGATGATTGCAAGCTTAATTGCTTCGCATTTTAGAAATGTGCAACGCTTGATTCCTAGAAACCTGCAAGTTTTTTGCTCTTTTATTACAACTATAGGCGCGATTTTGACCACATCCAAAGAGCCCTAAGAGTAGCAAAGTGATCGCGATACTTATTTTGTCCTTTGTCAAAAACCCCCTTTACATTTCTAACCAGTAGCTTAAGATAAAGCCTTCTTAACGGACTTGACCACGTCAGCCAGATGCATCTGCAGACGAGTGTTATGATTTCAACACGTCCTTCTGCATGATAATCTTCTGGCAAACCCAGCTCTTCTGTTTCATAAAAATATGTTCTCTATCCTTCTTTTTAAACAAGTGACTGTGCTGCTTTTCAAAAAAAAAAACATTTATTCCACCTTACGTTAACGCAGTCCTAAGAGGCACTGGCTGAGCGGACTCATTCACG